AAAAGATTCGACTCCACTATTTTATCAAATTCTACACCGACACGGACTGTGTTGCATGTTGACATTAACATCATCCAGTGGTCTAAACAAGTACCCAATAGGAGACAGCCATCTAAGGTCTTTGGGGGGAGAGAAAAAATTAACAATGTAAAGGGCTACAGCTTCTACATCACGATTGTGTATTTAGCAGTGACTTTTATCCAAAGCGATGTACATTTGTAGAGAAAGCAAGGTCAGCCAGTCCAGCCAATAGGAGGTTAAGGGCCTAGCCCAAGGGACCAATAGTGAAATCTTTCTACCAACCCACAGTTCAACTTCCAATATTCAAATCACAGGCACAGCATCCCAACCCACTGAGCTACGCACCGCGACCCAAAACAGCATCTATCAAATACTGTCTTTCCTCGCTACTGTTCCACTTGCTCTCTCTCAAATTAAATTGGGTGAGAGTTCCACAGGAGGGGCGGCTGGCCGTCGGCCATCTTTGGTGAACGCAAGGCGGGGGACACGTTCTCTCCTAACAGCCCCCAGGAACGAGAAGATAACCTCCCCACGTTGAGGAAGAATCGCAGAGCGGTACTTAGAAGAAAGGCTTCGGAGAGTCTGAAAGAGGCCTTTCCACAGCTAACCATCGCGTACATCTACAGCTGCCTCCAAACTCGTCTAACTCCGCGTTACTTTGACTTGGCATTCCCTTATCCTAACACACAGCGTGCTGTCTCCACAAAGAGAACTAAAGCTATGAATCCATCACCCTGTTGTTAAAGCCACACCACCTGGCATCAAAACTTCACTTTTGCTTCAAGGTACAGAAATATGTGGGTCATAGTGTAGATGAGAAAAAAAAACCATATCAAAACAAGTTTATTCTATTTGTAAAGAGGGAACAGAAGGATTTGGGTTACTTGCTGAGTTTGCTTAAAAAAGAATGTTGGAGACTGGCTGTTCCAAAACTCACTTGGATAGAAATCCACAGGAATACAAAAAGAGCCAGGCTGAAATTTAGGTCAGGGGGGTCACAAGTCATGCCCCTCTTACCTGCTGTGGAGTGCTTACTGTTTTCTCACCGTGCAATGAAAAGAGAGGAGCTCATTGGTATGCAATCCTACCCCTTGTTCGCCGAACGACCCCTCTGCATTGGTGGTTCAGGGCAGCCGTTTATCCCACCACGTGCAGCCTGTGAGAATACCCCCCCCCCCCCCCCCCCCCGCCAACGGAGGTGAGCGGCAGCTGAAGTCCATGAAATCAGCTGTTTGACGTGGCACAAATTTCACCTTTCACGCCTGATCCTCCCCGCCTGCTTTTATTGGGAAAATGTACTTATCAGATTGAAGTGAATTATCAAATTGAAAGCAGAAAGCATTTCCTGAGCTGTGTGATTTAGAGAGGGAGTGGTTGAATTCAAATGTGTCTCTTTGCAGCTATAACTCCGATCTCCCAGGATGCCTTTTTTTTCATATTCTAGTTTGCTTCCAAACAGTACTTATTGCACTATTACATTCTGGAAGGAGGAAGTGTGGTAATTCTCATAATATGATTTGTGAAGGAGGGAACTTCAAGATCTGACTATGACTAAGTCTGAGACCTGGCTCAGGAAGAGGCAGGGAGCTCCAGGGGTTACGGTCAGGCTCCATCGCCTTGCTTAAAGCTTTCCGCTTGGGTAGGAAGAACATGGGCTGTTCACACCGAGCCTTTTCCCAGTCCCGAGGTGCGGCAGGGTCACCCCTCCAAGCCGCTGCCTCCCCTGCCGCACGGATGGTACAGTCTGCCCCTGCCCAGCCGGTAAGTGACGAAGGCAGGGAGGCAGGCGGCCACCCCAACGCAGCCCATAGTGACGCGGCCATGCTGCCTCCCCTGTCGCACGGATGGTACGGTCTACCCACAGTGGTAGGGAGGCAGGGAGGCAGGCGGCCGCCCCCAATGCAGCCCACAGTGACGCAGCCAAGCGACGTCCCCTGTCACACGGATGGTATGGTCTGCCTAAGGTGGCAGGGACCCACGGAGGCAGGCAGCCACCCCAACGCAGTGACGTGGTCACGCTGCCGGGCCGGGCTCCCCTCAGACAGCAGATGCCAAAGCTTCCTGATCAGTCCTGACATTAAATCCCGAGTATCGATAGAAGTATTTTATAAGCCGACCCCTCTTTCTGGACATGCCTACAGCCTGGAAGAACTGGGCGTCTGTTCCTGTTCAGAGGCAGCGATCGGTGCTGATTCCTGAGATTTTCCTGTGCGAGAAGTGTGTCGAAATGGGCAGAGTGCCACAGGCCCGGGCTCTGTGCTCTGCAGCTGCTCTGGGCTTCTCATTAGGCCAAAGCTAATGCTTTCACTCAGCATGTCCCTCTCGCATGCCCCGCTGCATCACCTCCCGTGCAGTGGCTGCCATTGATCAGGCCAGTTATTCTCGTCACTTGCGGTTCCGGGTCGAACATGCTCTTTAAAGGCAGCACCGGGGCTTCACCTCTCCCCGGACTCTTCGAACACGAGCCGCGCTCTTAACAATTCTTAAGACAGACAGATGATGACAAATCTCCAAGCACGATTTAACGCTTTTAGCTTCAGACAGATGCCACAACAAATAACTAAACGTTCAAGTTTAAAACAAACAAAAAAAAAAGGCCAGTAAATATGAGAACTGGCAAAACTTTAATCTTCTCGTGGGATTTTCAAAGTACATTTTTCAAAAAGTTAAATGGTAAAAAAGAGAAACTTTCTGAGAAAGATGACTGCTTCATTCCCTACTCCCCTGCAAATGAAGGAGGTGTTGGCTGCCGAACCATAAGTTTGTATTTCAGCAAAAACACATTATGATAATCCGACAGAACTCTGTTAACACCCCCTGCTGGGCTGATAACTTCACTACCACGCACGCACACACGCCCAGCATAACCTCCCGCTTTCATTTCACGTCGCTGGCGGTCCCGTTCCCAGAACAAAGATTTCAGACGGGGTCCACATCCTGCGTCTTCCTTACTCACCCCAACCACCACAGCTGGATACCCCCCCAACCCCGACTGACGCCTCAAAATCCGCTTTGGCTGCACACTCTCACGCCTCTCATCCGCCTGCTTTCTGGCTTATTGCAGACAAGGTCGTCTATCTCACATAATAAAGACAGCGCTCTTTCATCCAGGGAGAGCTCTGTTTACATATAACAAAGAAAGATGGTGGGTGAGGAGCCAAAGGTGGACAGTGAGATCACATTCAAGTCACGGACATAGACCGCCGTCCAGGCATGTCAGTCTAACTCTCTCCTTACCATTTTAACACACAAAAGCCTCAATTAAGGCATGCAAAGGATTCCTCTTCAAGCCAAAACTACTCAACATTTCAGTTTAAATACTAGGTTAATGTCAAATGGAAATCAGAATACGTGAACCATTAAAGAACAAAACATTTCAGAAAGTCTTCAAATCGCATATCAGTCAAATAACTGGGCATACAATGCAGATGCCTTAATGAAAATCCAAACCCCATATTCTTTGTTTGCCTTGTTTTAGATCCACCCAAAGGCCCACGAAAAAATGGATGGATATTTTTTTCTGTTTCATTACTACACGTCTGTCAAATCCTGTGTAACCACAGAATGAGTCACCCAGTAAGTTACACACTGCCCAGAAAGATGCCATAAAATAAAATTAAAACTAAGTTTTTTTACATCATTGAAATTTATTACACGTCATTAGATGTGATTAGAACCACTATAAAATAATTAAGAAGTGTCTGATTTAAATATTGCTTGCGTAACAGTAGGCCTATTAATTGGTTGTAAAATCTAAGGCGTCCATCGGGCAAACAAAACCTATTACTACAGGCATGCGACCGAAGATCCAGTCACTTACAGCGCGGAAACAAAGATTTTCTACAGTAAAAAACAGCACTGATCAATAGAGAATACCTGTTAGCCTATATTGGAAGCCTGTGTGCTGAATTAGTTTCGAGATATTGATTAGATTTTCCGCACTATCGGCTGTTCTCCCCTTAAACGCTGTTCACAGAATAACTTATTTTGCCACTGAAGCAAGAAATATTCATCAAAGAAATGATCACAACATCTATGCATTAAGAGCAATTTAATACAGTTCCCCATAAATATTTCTACTTTAAAATTGCCTCCGATTACACAGCAAGCCGTGCAATGAGAGCCCTCGCTGCACACAATGCCACAAGCGGCGTGCTTTTTTCCCCCGATGTCGGCAAAAAAAAAAGGTCGGTAAGGATAGGATTGTTTTCCCCTGGCAATCATGAAAAAGACAACAGTGAAGCATTAAAACTAATTAAAAAATAATAACGAGAGCTTTTTCAGTAGACAAAAAAACCCTCAGAGGTCCTCCTTTAGATTCCTTAAGCGCCGTGACCAGCAGCGTCTTTAAGACGCACGGAGCAGCAGATCGTGAGCCCAGCTTCCTCCTCCAGCTGCCGTGTGGCAAGCAGCATGAACCAGCTGGACAAGAGTTATAAAAAAAATACTGTCACAGGGACACTGTGGGGCGGCACGGCTGGGGCTGCGGCCGCAGGAGGCCGGGCCCCTGTCTCGATGTACGCACTCCCGGTCAAACGCCCACCTGACGCGTGAAGCGCAACTGATAAATGCACCCGCCCTGGTCACATGGTAACGGGCTGGATAGGTGAACCCTCCCCCCCATCTTGTGTTTGTGAACTTGCATGTGCATTGAACGATGGAGAGTGTCCAAGGGTGCATGCGCACCATCCGCTCCGCCAGATGCTGCGTGTGCGGTATAATACCGGTGCGTAAATTTCAGGTAACTCCCCATGCCAGTGCCCCATTGCCGTACCGGTGCACTATCTACTGCAACACTCTTTTGCCATTTATTTTTAAACAATGCGACGGTACTCCACAAAGGACATGCTAAACAGCAATGTCGAGCAGAGTAACATTATGTATTTCTCTCCCACCCTTTCACGGAATGCCCCAGGTCGGTCTCCTCTGAGCACCAGAAAGAACAGCTGCATACTTTGTAAAGAGATAGCATGTCTTACCTTTGAGAATGCTCTGACCTTGTAGTATATCCCTCGAAACAAACACTGTATAAAAACTCTCTGAGAATCCAGGTCTGCACGGTGGCTTAGACGGTAGGTCATAATTCCCCTACGGACCAAACAAACAAAACTGTCAGACGTTTATTAATATGGATTCAGCTGATTGTTACGGCGGATCTGAATTGAAAACGTCAGCTATGCCTTGTGCAGAAATGCATTTCCCAGACAAACAGACTTTCATGAGAAGTTTATTCAGGGGGTGCTTTATTCAACAAATAGAAAAAAACTGCTTAAAATTGCATAACGACCCATATCTTTACCACTCTGAAACAATTCTGAAACTCTTTTTTTTTGTTATAATACGCCTACCTCGCTTGGCAAGTCAGAAACATACTCCCAAAACGAGGTGCTGTGCAAATGTTGCTACAGAGTATGTCAGGTGGGGCCGTGAAAGTGGCAGGTACGAGTGCAGAATAGTCTCCCAAGTCTGTCTCCCTTTTTTTATTATAGCAGCAGCAGCTGATGCCGAAACTCGCCCGACTACATCCACATCAGAGCGGCAGCGCGGCTCTGTTTCGCTGACAACGGAGCTCCGCGGTGTGGGTTAAAATAATACAATAAAAGGAGTAACTGTGGCTCAGCCCCTTGGCACCCCTAAAATTCAACCCCCTGAGATCAGACTTCTCCTTTTAATGAGTAGCCCTGTCTTTCTGCGTGAAACCGTGTACCTAAGCAGCCCAGCTGGGGGGGAAAAATTGCCAGTGCTGCATTGACGGTGGCTTATCGGAAGCTTGAGTCTCTTTTCCAAGTTTCCGGCGACCGATTTTTTTTTTCGTGTGTGTGTGTGTGTGTGTGTCTTGTCTGTTTGCCTGAGCATGAACATCCGACAGCCTCACACGGCAAAAAAGCTTAGCCGAAAGACCATCAGTACTGTTTAGCATCACTGGTGTGTGCGGTGGGTACCAGTCTTTGTGCATTCATAAGGAAATGGCACAGTCAGGGAATGCTACAGCGTTCGGGATTTATACTACTCCTTACAGTGATTTCTTCGTACTGATGGCAAGTAGGTTACAAGACGAGAAACCTATCGTGGCAAAAAAAAACCTTATGGTTTGCCTATTATTGCAGCCAAAACCTCAAACCACCCACATACATTCTATTTTATTAAAAAAAAAAAATCCAAAGCCAAAATTCCATTCATTCCAATGTAATTAAACGCAACTCACACGTCCGTATTAAGGTTCTTTTTTTACAGTTATTGAATATCTTAGGCAAAAAACTGCCAATTAAACCAAAACATGAACGACGAACTCAATATTACATCCACAGGCGAAGCTGCAACTTTGTGCGCCGTGTAACGCGTGCGTTTTGGAGTGTATTTGCGTTGTAGTTTTGCTATGATAGGCAAAATACTGTCTCCGATGCAAACTTTTGACGGTACCCTTCGCATATGAAGGAAAATGTCCACGCGTGTGTGTGGAAAAACGCAGAGTAGACATAAATCTGACAAAGAGAACCCGAGATTCCGACCGCAACATCCGCACCGTCAAGTTCGCCGCGGCGAAGCGAGCTGGACGCCACGAATCCACAGAGACGGCAAATAGCCACACATTTAATGCATCCCGAAAAGCTTTCCCGGAGCAAATAAACAAACGAACAAATAAGTGGATAAATGCACACATCAATAAACAGCACCTCATCGTCATCAGTCCATGTACAAAAACACACCGCGCAGCATCTACTTATATGTGAAAATAAGCGACGAGTGGCAACCCTTAAAATACACGACGGGGTACTTAAACATTAGAAAGAATGAAACACTTCTTTTGGAGTGAAAGTTACAAATCAATCTATTCATTTTCTGTGTCGCCGCACCGCCGCACTCCCGGTGCCGTGGGAACACAAAGCGGCACGGCACTTCCAGCAGCCCGAAATAAAAGAGGAATTAAAATCTCACCCAAGATGTGCTCAGTATTGTGGTGGTCATCAGTAATATAACGAAGCCCGTTTTCATTGTCGCAAGAAATCGGAGCGAGAGGGAGACCCGCGATTCGGCTGATTTTCTCGCACAGAAAATCTTTATTTTCTATATTACGGATATTTATCCTGCGCTTCCTCCAGTCTCCTTCCTCAGCTCCGTCCGCGATGTTTTAGGCGCTTGTCTAGTGCAAACCGTCCCGAGTCCTCTGGCGCTCAACTGCAGGTGAAAAGCGATGTTCAGCTCAGCACCAAAGGGCTTCGCAGCGTCACTACAACCCCTCCTACCGTACAGTGCGGGAGAATCCCACTTAAAGAAACCAAGTATAACGGGCTCAGGCAGACCTCTGAAATTGCTGGAGCTGCCGCTCTTGTATGTCTATTGTACTGCCTTGGCATCAAAAATACTGCAGAGCTGATTGTGCGCGTGTTAAAAATTAAAGTCAGTAATCTGTCAATCATCCCTTGACTTACAGCTATTTCATTAGGCTTACATATCAGTTGTTTATATTATATGTGTTCTGGTGTGTGTGACTTTATTAGTAATTATTTCTTTTACAATAAAAATTATTTCTTTGGCCGGACTGCCTTAAAATGTATAATAAAAAATATTAAATTAAAATAAATTATTTTTACAAACGTCCAACTCTGGCTTACTGTAGCACATAAGCAATACTACAGCAGCATTGTAAAAAGCAGGCCCTAACAAATTTCTCATTTGCTGTGAAATGCTATTTTCTTCGCTCTTTCTACATCCCGATTCCCAGGTGTGTGCTTAAGAGTGAAGGATTAATGGAGGGAATATCTACAGACAAGCACACTTAGAGTAGCCCATGCAGCATTCAGGTCTGCAGTTTAATAACTGTGAGATTTCCGGGCCTCTGATTGGCTGCCTTATTTCCATATCTGAGAGGGGTAATCCCATTAAAAGGATTGACAGAATGTCACCAGCAGTCTGTTTCGACTTTACGTGGCAAATGCATTTACTTTTCCCACCGGTAAATAATTTGGCTGCAGATGAGGGTTAATGGAAGCCAACATCCTTGCCTTGTTTTTCTAGTCCGGGCAATTTAGAAGAATATATGAAATTTCATGATTCGGATCTTTCTGAACACTTCATGATTGAAGCGAGGCTTTAGGGCAGTGCTGACTTGATCCACATTGGCCCTCACATTCCCCTCACGATGAGTGTGAAAGTGATGATGGCTACGCATTGGCCGTTTTTACACTGTCCTTTGCACCCACAACTCCATAAAGCTCAGTGGTGAACAGCTAGGAGCTCCTTCCTTGGTCTGCGCACAATAAAGTATTTGCCACAGTTTAAATACTAAGCAGGCTGGTTTATTGTTTTTCAATGACAGTAAATAACACAAGAATTGTGGGATTTTAATCATAACCTGTCTTAATCCAATTTGCATGTGTCACGCACGTGTGCGATTCATTCTACTACCAAGAAAAGCTGGCCCAGTCATGAATGTGAAAAACACATGTCAATCATTTGGTGTTTTATAAATTATGGTAGAATCACTACAATGCACCGAACTGAGTTCAGTTCAAGCTCTACATTCAATCCAGTCATAACAATAGCTGGAGAGGAACTAATAAAATGTATCACAAGGAGGAAGTCCCACAGAAAAGTTGGACATGACAGCATCTGTTCCATGCGCTTTTAGGTCTTTGTGTGTTCGCCTGCTTCCCCCAGCATCCACTATTCCTGCAATTCCTGGCATTGAAGCCGTTTATTATCTGTTGACAGATTCACAGTCATATGGCCACGCCTTAAACAATGCTCAGAAATCTCTCACAATACAACTTCTGTGTTTGATCTTCCTTTTCCGCAGTCAGATGTGAAATATTGACAATAGCGTTTTGTAAGGCCAAACACATCTACTCGTTACATGGCAAAGATTATAGTCAACAATGACGCCATATTGTCAGTCGGAATTCTTGGCAATACACTTGTTTAATTACCCTGTAAATGTGATTAAGTACTGTGCAAATTATGTGTACGCACATACATTGTTGTTCTAATTAAAATACTTAGCAATAGACCAAAGTAATGACTCTGTAATTGCAATCTATTTGTTTGCACGTTGTAAAACATACAACACAAGTGGCCATTTTACACACACTTTATGCCTCATTAAACATCAGAGATCCTTCTAACCCTAGAATCCACCTACCGTTACACCATAATCCAAACCCAAGGTCCAACCTTGAGCCTTTAATCGTGTTGCAAGATTAGTATTTGTAATGCTCTCATTGCATATTTTCCATTTATGCAAGTCAACATCCACAAAGCAGAATTCCGAATCCCACAGGGAAGAGTGTAGAGTGTCCCGCTCTGACTGGTCACTCTCAAATCCAGGAACAAGGTGCGACAGATAATTAAAATTGATCTCCATAGAACAGGCCGGGCAGCAACATAAATTATGATCTGATATGCAGCAAAGAGGTAGGTTTGAACTTAACATCAATGTTTAAAAAAAGTCTAACAGGAACGCTGTACAGAAAAGATTACATTTTCTGGGGCTGGGGGTGGCGGGGGGGGCAGTGCATTTGTGCATTTTTCCATTTTTCAGATGTGACACAGATGATTTTCCCCTGCCGCTTTTTGCCCCTGTTGGCTTCCCAGCTGTGATCCTGCCCTTGTTTCCTTTGCAGTGTTTACATCTGGAACTTGGCCACCAGTCAGGAGTCATGGGCTCCACCATAAACGCTGACAATACCAAGAGGTGTCAGCCGCTCCCTTGGCTCGCGGCTTCATTGTTCACAATCCCGGATGATATTTCACCCTCTGCGTTACTTGACTATAACGGCGCGGCTGCAATTAAAACCTTGTTATCCTGCCTCTGATCGTTTACCATCATGCTGATCTCTCTTTTGGTAGAGTGCTTGTTGTTCAATAAATACTTAACATCCCTCCTGTCCTTTTCAGTGGCTCTCAGTCACCAAATTTAAATGGAGCAGAGCTGAGTTTAAGGCCTTAAAATGGGATGGAAAAACAGACCTTTTACAAAGGGAATTATTCTGGTGGAGACCACTTTTCTCTTCTGAGGGCCTGAGGATCAATCACACTTTCCCAATACAGCTTGGTCACATCGATACAATTGGTCCTGCCTTGCATTCCACATTCTGTTTCATATTCTAATTCTGAATCCAGCATGCGGCGATGTCACACTGCTGCCACACACACCACACACAGTGCACAACGTGTATCATTCTGCTTACTCGGGTCGGTTGGAGCGGCACCAGAGGAGCCGGTGATCATTTCACGATCGCCAGTTCCTGGTTTTGATCTGTGTATGATTTCGCCTTTCTGAGTCCCTTTTTGCGAGTCCCTGGGAGCGGGAGTACTGAAGAGGAAAGGAGTTTTTATGGCTTCCCAGTGCCACGAATGACACAGATCAGGATGTTTCTGGCATGTGTGCCGAACGGCAACACGCTCCCGCGTTGCCAGACTCATATATGTGCCCAGAGGTGGATGTGACTCGGTAAATCGCTGAAACACCTCACTTACAGGCTAAAGCGACACTCACGAAGAGGATTTGATTATTATTTAATCCGTCAGTGCCTGATATACTGTTCGTGTGTGTGTGTGTGTATATATACATTTCAAATGTAGCGTGAAAAAAACTTATGTTAAAATAAATGTTGTCCTACTTAAATTTTTACTTTTAAAACACCTTTCTGGGAATACTGTTCTAGAGTGGTAATACTGTAGGAAGCTCAGCACTGAAACACTTTGGCAGTTTGTCTAGCTGGCTGACAAGAGACAGACAGCTAAGGTTTTGAGCATCACCAGCACACAAAACCAAGGAAAGTTCTAGATGTGAGCCAAAAGCTTGGGTTTATCTGACCCCTGAAATGACTGATCGATATGCCACAAACACATTAATTACACTGTGACACAGCAGTACTGTTAACTCCTTACAAGGTGGGTCACTAATCGTTTACACTATAATATACCAGTGTTACCAATCCAATAGGGAAGAACAATTGTCTTGGGTCAATATAAAACACAGATTGAAAAAAGCATTGCTTGACTTTTAATGAAGCAGGCATAGACAGTGAATTATATGACATTGTGAAGACATGTAAACACACACAGCATTAAAAATACATGCAGACACATTCAGGAAATGCATCTGACACGGTAATGTGAAATACACAGTGAATCGAATCTAGATGCACTGTGAACGGGATAAACAAACATATGGAGACGTGAAAAGCAGTCACAGTGTCAGATTTGGAAATTGCCGGAGCCCAGTACTTTGTCAGCTCAGGTGAGAGAAGTTTGCTAAATGGGCATAACTATTATATAACCTGGAAGGCAATGAATTATGTCAGGTACCTGCCCATATATTCACTCTGCTGTCCCAAGTGAATTACAGTATCCATTCATATGGAGCATAATGCAGTTATGAAATTTACACGATAGCAGAAAATGCTGTACTGATGCAATATTTACTTAGCTGACTGACGTATTTACTCTTCGTCATTGATTTCATTTTATGCTATTATTAATCTTTGATTTTGATGGCTTTTTATAATGATCAGACAGAGAGGATACAAGCGCAGTATATTAGGATGTTTAGTTCGGAAGCTCAAATCAACGTCAGAGACAGGCAGGGCCAAAACCGGTGAGTCAGAGAAGCAACCCAATCTGAAGACGTAATCCAAAGGGGAGAATGCAGGTACGTGCAATGGATCGGTAACAAGGCGGCAATCAGCGAGGCAACCAAATCCAGGACACAGGCAGGAATCGGAAGCCCAAAAAACCAGAAACACAGACCATACACGGAAAGGCTCTGTAGGTCAGCGCTGGG